GTAAACACTCTTCTGATTGCTTACTAAGTGTAGCAGCGTCTGGTCGTCTTTCCTTATTATATGCGACCGAGGTACAACATAGTAAAAAAAGAAAAAGTTAAAACGAAAATTTCGACTCCTCGTAAACTGCATCGTTCTTTTCCAGCCGTCCTGGAAAAGAAAAAAGAAAGTGTAAGTGTATGTCGAAATACACTCGTATGTGAATAAAAACACAATGTCGGTGAAAAAATGGAAAATATACTCAAGCACACGTAATAGCGTTAAACAATGTTTTTTTTGTTGTTTTTTTTAGGTAAAAATATAAATATATAAACATATTAAAATTCTTTTTTTAAAAAATTATATATCGTAAAAAGAAAGATCGAGATAATATAAAATGTCGAGTAGTGCCTTACGTGCAGTAGTCGTTTAAATGTTCTGTAAATCTTACTCTTCTTCTAGAACGCGTCGTTTTAGGTTTATTTTCAGACACATTCGGAGTATCATCGCGTGTGTTGGTTGTCGGTTGAGGAATTATGAGTGTAGGAGTCGTGTTGTGCGATTGCACCGGAGGAAAGTCGACGTGAATAGGATTTCCTTCTAAATACGCTGCTTTCAAGCGATCGATGCTGATGCTATCGTTGGTTCCGTTCTTATCGACTATATAGTACTTAGATTCACGTTGAAGAACTTTGAAGGGTCCTTCGTATGCTGATTCGAATGGTCGTCGACGCGAGTCTCGACGAACGAAAACGTGTGTACTATATCGTAAGTCAGGTTGAACGAAAACATCAGTTGATTGAGGTCGAGTGGAAGCAGGTTTAACTGAACTCATTGCGGTTGTAAGCCTGTTCGTGTAGGAGGTTAGATCCATGTTCATTGAAGAGGACGAAGGATCCATGAATTCTCCTGGAAGTCAAAGTGTCGTTCCATAAACGAGTTGAGCCACAGAGTATCTAATGTCAGCTTTCACTGCATTGCGGATACCTAATAAGACGAGTGGAAGAGCGTCCGTCCACTGTGAAACGTTTGCAGCCGATAGTGAAGCTTTTAGTTGTCAGTGAAAACGTTCTACCAACCCGTTTGCTTGTGGGTGGTAGGCAGTCTTTCGGGAGCGATTGGTTCCTAAAAGTGTGGTCAGACGACGGAAAAGTTCAGATTCGAACTGATGTCCGCGGTCTGTAGTGATGGTTGAAGGGCAGCCGAAGTTTGCTACTCATCGTTCGACGAAGGCGCGAGCCACTGTTTCAGCAGTGATGTCCTTGATAGGTACTGCTTCTGGCCAGCAAAATCATTTTGCTATAAGCTTGATGGTTGCACGAACGCCTGGATGAGAAAGTTTGTGCAATGTATTGAAGACATTGCGTCGATAATGTTTCGGCACGATTGGGCGATCCCTACCTGTAGATGTGTCACAAAGTAAGGTTTCCTTACCTGTTCCCATCTGTTTGGTGCGTAGTTTAAGGGTTGTGGACGATAACTCATGCTGAAGATCAGTGTCTTCTTTTTGAAGCTCAGCGAGTTTAAGAAGGTCGATTCCTTGGAAACTGTTCAAGGAAGTTATGCGAGATAAGGCGTCTGCAACTACATTGTTTGCTCCAGAGATGTGTTGAGTATCTGAAGCAAACTGCGAAATGTAGTCCAGTTGTCGAGACTCACGGGGAGAGTACTTGTCAGAAGGAGAGCTTAACGAGAAAGTGAGCGGTTTATGGTCCGTGAAAAGAGTGAATTCACGACCTTCGATATAGTGTTGGAAATGCTGTACAGCACAATACATAGCTAGGAGTTCCCAACCGAATGTGCTGTACCTCGATTCGGTGTCTAACAACCTTCTAGAGAAAAATGCCAAGGGTTGCCAGGAGTTGTTAACCCATTGTTGTAAGACTCCTCCAATTGCCGAGTCGGATGCGTCTACTGCGGTACTAATGGGTGCTTCGGTGTCCTGATGTGCGAGCATTGTTGCTTTAGCAATCAGTTCCTTAACTGTGGAGAATGCTTTTCGTGCGGTGCCGTCCAAATTTATGGATTTCGCATTTCCACGAAGTTGGTCGGTCAGAGGTTTCATAAGTAATGCGCATTTGGGTATGAAACGTCTATAGAAACTTACCGGGCCGTTGAACGTGAGCAATTGCTTGACGGTGGTCGGTTCTGGGTAATCCAGAATGGTCACCACTTTGGTTCTAAGGGGTCGGATACATTGAGCATCGATAGTGTGTCCCAGAAAGTCTGATGAGTCGGTTCCAATTCGGTATTTCTGAACGTTTACAGTAATGCCGTGGTTTTGTAGTCAGTCGTAAACAAGATCCAGATGCTTGAGTTGTGATTCTCTGTCCGGACTTGCGATTAGGCAGTCATCAACATACGCATGTACGAAGTTGAGACCTCGAAAAACGTCGTCTATGAATCTGGAATGTTTGGGCAGCGTTTCTTGGACCGGAAGGCATTCGCAAAAATTCATAGAGTCCGAAGGGAGTTATGATAGCTGTTTTCGGTATATCGTCAGTAGCCATAGGGATTTGGTTATACGCTTTAACCAAGTCGATTTTCGAAAAGACAGTTGTACCTTTCAAGGTAGCTGTCAAATCGTGAATGTGAGGCAACGGGTAACGATCGGGAATGGTTTTCGCGTTCAATCGCCGATAGTCACCAGTTGGACGCCAGTCGTTGCTCTCCTTTTTAGGGACCATGTGCAACGGAGATGCATATAGGCTAATTGACGGTCGTATGATTCCTAAGTCTATCGTATGGTCGAACTCGTTTTTCGCTAACCTAAGCTTTTCGGGAGCTAGTCGTCGTGCTTTAGAAAATACAGGTGGTCCTGTAGTCGTGATGTGATGTGTAACGTTGCTGGTTACACACGGTAACCTCGTTTGCGTTTGTTGTATCCCAGGATACTTATCGAGAAGTGACTGATAGAGTGGGTCTATCATATGTTTAATTGTGACTGGGGATAATTTGCAACCAGAAAAAGAAGTTGCGCAAACGGACAAATTAGTGTTTCCGTCTACTAGCCTCCGTTTGCGCGTATCGATGATCAGATTATGGTGTTGCAGAAGGTCCATACCAGTGATTGGCATAGAAACATCTGCAACAACGAAGATCCAGTGAATGGGTTTGCGTAAACCCATGTTCAGGTAAACGTACTTTTTGCCATACGTAGCGATAGGTTTTCCGTTTGCCGCCTGTAAGTTTAAAGTCGATTCGTGAAGTCGGTCGTTAGGATTTGCTGGGAGAACGCTAACTTCTGCGCCAGTGTCGACGAGGTAGCGAACTCTTGTTGTCACATCTGTGACGAATAACAGACGGCTTTGTTCGCCGGCTACGGTTGCCGTTAACGTGTGTCGGCTTGGAAGTTTCCCGAGTTGTTTTTCGAGCCAGTCGGTTTCGTGTTGGAAATGTTGCGGGGTTTTCTGCAATTTCTGGAAAGCTTTCCATACTGGTTATGATACCAGCACCAGTCGGGGTTATCTGTCTCTCGTGGTCTAGAGACAGATCGCTTACGAGAAATGCTTCTACGTGGGGTGCGCGATCTATTGCGGTCGGTACGAAGCTTGAGATAACGCGTGAGTGTATAACATAACTCGGTTATGTCATTCTGAGTGGTTTGAGGCTTTTCTTTGACTGAAAAAACCTCTGCCGTAGATTTCGTAATTTCTAAAATGCGGTCGGCAGATGCAGCTAGCTCGTGTAAGGCGTTGTTCTGAAACGAGACCAGAACTGCTTGCACCTGTTGGGGAAGTTCTGACAAGAAATGTTGTTTGAATAGGCCTTCGTCGAAAGTTCTTGGGCCTATAACCTGTCTCATCCGTTGCAACATGTCCGTCGCAGAACCGTGTTGCAGATCGATGTTATTAAAGAGTTGATCTGACCTTTGTCGATCGGTTAGGTCTCTTCGTTTAAGAATCGAGCGTTTTAAGATTTCGTAAGGATCGGAAACATCACTAGTAAACATACCAGGTGTTACGTACCTGTTGAATTCGCGCAGTAGTGCCTTGACTACTGCGAGGAATTGTGCACGTGTGTCGATCACGCCGTGCTCGGAGAAGTCGGCTTCGGCGTAGCAAAACCAGGCTTTGATGTTGTCGGGCCAGAAAGGCATCAGTTGAAACGAAGGTGGGGACAAGGTCTTAAGCTTGAGTACTTTGGGTGTCTGTTCAGTCATGATGAAATATGAAGTACGATAATGAACGAGGGGAAAATATGTATATATCCAAGAAAAAACACGAAAAAAATCACAATGTTTAAAAAAATAAAGCAATGATCTATAAAAATCCCAAACAGGAACAGACTCACAGTTGTAATTAGGTGTACCAGATCACGTCGGGCTCACCAATGATGATGTCACAGGTATTCAGTGTTTGACAACGCTTCTACCAGTAACACCTAATATATTTCGTTCCCACCCAGAGAAATCAAAAGACAGAGTCGAGGAGATCGGAAGAGTGTATTTGGCGATTACCAATATATCGGAATTCTCTGATCTAATCTGGCTAGCGATTGCGGTTGATGTTGAGCACGGCGTTACCACACGTGATCTGGTGCGGATGCATGACCGAGCGCCTTCAGCTAAATGAGTCCACTAAGACATGTAGTCAGCATCCAATGTCGAAAACTTAGAGCTATTTATTTTGGGGATTTATTTACCGCTACAAGACTTTGAACATGTTTTATGTGCATTGGGACTTATGCGAGTACACCTCATTTGGAACCGATTTTGCACCCATCACATTGCGTTCCGTCATCTAGGGGGTAAAACAGTTTCACTGTCTCCATTTATAAGTACTTGTAGTGTGGCGTCGGGTCGGTCGTGATTGACAATGATCACCACTGCAGGAAGACTACGTGCCAGTTAACCGATAAGATCCCCCGTAAGCCAAATATCAGAAGGCAGTTGATGGCTGTAGTCGAGATCTATTTGTTGGCGATCTAGTGGAATCGAAAGAATACCGAGATCATGCTAGGTTACAAGTGTGGTTACTGAGCATAACCGAATTCATGCAAGGTCACATTCAATGGAAGAAAGTATGTTTTGGTACAGTTAAACAAGCAGGTACGGTGAAAACAGTCCCTGGTACAATTGGTTATAATAATAATTGTTTCCATTACACCAATCTCGCTACATGCTGTTGACCATTGTGAATATATTGAAAGCACAAAAATTCAACAAAAATGTACAATCTAATCGCTAGTGTCAGAACCAACTAAAAAACAGAGTACTACAAGACGGGCCTGGAGAAAATTCTGAACGTCAACCGAAATAATTCAAGTTTAAAGTAGTCTAATTTCACATTTGATCTAATAAATGCACAAGAACAAAGTTAATGCATAATAAGTAGTAAACTCGCGCTTTTTTGAAACGCGCACTAATACTTTACTGTTCAAAGGAGCTCTCTGTCTAACATCGTTAGTGTATTGGTTGAGTTTAATTAGTACTGAAAAACTAGCGAAAATACATCAGAACATGTTAAAAGGATATCTCAAAGGTGTTGTAGACCTAGTGAAGTAAACTGTGAAAATGTAGTCCTCATATTTATTAATATTTAGCAATCTAACTGAACCAGCTGGTTCAGACGAAAATCTAACTTCTGGTGATACTCCGGAAGTTCTTGGGGAAGGATTTAAAGATCAGTAAGTGTCGATGTTATTATGCCAACTAATCAGGGATAACGGTAGTTCCAATAGACCACGAACACTTAATTCTGTGCCCAACTCACAGAGCGTTGACAATTCGGAATCAAGTAGTGTACTTAGTTGGATTGGAAGTTTAATAGCAGCCAATGGTGAGGTGAGAACTCTCTTTTAACTCTTTCTCATAAATGAATAAGCAACCTGCTAGTGTCTTGACTAGTTTTCTTAGTTGTTCTTAGTTTATTATTTATTTAAACACAAACATTGGTACAAGGAGGCACCAAATAGATATGCGCCACATAAATCATTCGATTTGTGTGAAAGTTGGGATACTGCCCGGGTACCCAAACCGAAGCAGGAGTTTTCTTAGATTTAAGCTTGTTTGCATTTCATCAGTAGTTTTGGAAAGCTTTAGATTTTTTTCAGTAGAATTAACGGGATGATTATTCCTCGGATTCTGATTTTTGAAAAACACTAAAGTTCTCATCATTTTGGGATGATGGGTCAAGTACTTAACCTTTGCAACAAAATTCAGTAGTACTTCAGACAGTTTTTAGTGAACCAGGCTGAAGTCTGGTAATCTGGATAAACTGTTCAAGGAGGTTACACTTACAACTTCTGATAAGAATAGTCTGTCAAGCTCATATTCAAGGCAGAATACGAACTATTCTAGATTCCGTTATTGAAACAGTGGACGAGTTCCCCATTAACGTTCATGCAGAGTAACGTAAGATACCTGCCAGAAATTATCATGATATTGTCAACATAAATTCGTTGGATAATATTGATTGTAAGTCGTAATATGTACCCCACCTGGCTGCTTTGTGTGTGTTTATAATGGTGTCTATAAAGGAGCAAAAATAACGAAGAAACCTTAGTAAGCTTTGTTTTACGTATTTCACAGTTGCATGTTAAAGTAAATTTATGTTATCGCAAAGCAATCTTCTTAAAAACTTTTTACCATTCTAAGTAAGTAATATCATACTGATCCAAGTGTGCTCCGTTTAGTTTTGTATATTACAACACGGGCATGTTCCAGTCTTTGTAATCTGACATTGAAGTGCGAAGTTCAAATCAGTCATCTAGATAGTGTTCCTCCGTGTTCAGACACCTAGCCGTCACCCACTTATGCTACATTATCCTGGAAACATATCTGGTTGAGATTACCAAGTTAATAGAAATGATATTCCACTACGACTAATTTGCAATACGTGGGACCGTAGGCAGATGTAAACATTATTTTTCTCTCTCCAAATTCTTACTCTACATGAGTATTTCAGTTCAACAGTACAAACGACCGTTATTAGAAACTCCTTTAAGGAGTGCTATGTTCACACGATTGAAGCAGATTATCTATGTCACACTCCCTATGTGGGCACAAGGTAAATACTTTGAGTCAATAATCAACTTTTTGTAGTTTGTCATCGGGATGTTGAATACGAGTGTATAAAGTTTTCAGAAACCCAGATAAAGCTTTTCTTTGTTTGATCTATATTAAAATGCAAAATCTGAATGGAACAAGTCCAAGTCCCATACACGTTACTAGAATAGCTGAATGAGGTTTAAAATTACATGAATGTTTCTGGAAAGTATCCGTTTAGTAACTCTAAACGATATAATTGAACGGAAACTCAATGGTCAACTACAAAATGAAGTTGGCAAAAATGGAAGGGCAAAAAACTACGTAAATTTATTGGAAGATTTAATAAATGAATTGCATTTTAGTTAGTGTTAAATCTCAAAAAGCCACGTGATTGCTTCTTAACCCTGGTCTTTCATGTTATCGTAACTGTTTTATGGACTTTGACGCTGCTGAAATATTAAATTCACAAAGCATCCAAACCTTTGGTTTAAAAGTTTCGGAAGTTTCTCCCTCGTAATATTTAATGGTGTTGTGTTGAGCTATGTATTTGGGCACTAGATTGTGAAATCGCAAATATCGTAACCAGTGGTTGAGAATACAATAGGACATAATCGAGAATCGGCACAATGGCCCAGAAACAGTCATTTCCCTTAGGTATCAAGTCTCATTTTTGTCATAGAGTCACAGTGTTTATGTCTAGTCTTTTCCACTACCGCTGAAGCTGTTACTGTTTCTCCTATAGCATTTGCCTTGATAATTTCATCTCTGCGTTAAAATGGTGTGACAGTTTAGATCGATGCACATATGCGCCATATTCTACTTATGACTGACCTATATTTAGTAGTCAAAGAAGGTTGCTTTTGGATGCTGTTGTCCAGTTAAAAAGTCGGGATTTGACAGTTCAAGGAAAATTGATGGTACTTAATTATCTAGTTGAATAGTTTAGTCTACAATCTCTCTCCCTTTTGTGGGAAACCTCCACATAAAGAGAGTAAGTGAATGTTTCCTGTTTGCAACTACAAATCAGGTAAACAAGTGTTTAAAATGGTGATTCATAACTACCCTAGGTTAACGACTATACAGCTCATGTTTTTGGGCCGTTATTTTCTAGTGTTGTATTTTCCCGGTGTTATTAACATTCCATTTTGTCGACTCAGCATGTGATGTTTAGTAAGCTTGACAGTTCTGATTATCATTTGATTTTTGTGGGCTACGGTACTACTTGGATGCTCAAACCGAAGCAGGCGGTTTTCTTAAAGGACCTCTCCCGAAGCCTTTAACCTGTAGGTCTAGTCCACAAACAAGTGGGGCAACGTTAGGGGATGTGGTCCTATGGTAGCTGGTGACCAAGAATAGGTTAATAATTCATTTCTCCCCTCAGGATCTTGGAGCCCATATGCACTATGGTTCGGAGTCAGGGTTTTCCAAATCCCCTAGGTGGATCATCCGAACCCACCAACCAGGTTTAAGCGTCGGGTATCCGCTTTTCGTCCTCTCGATTTCGTAAACAACACCTCCACGACGAGAAGGCAACGATTAAAACTTCCCTGACAGCGGCTTTATACGTGTACATGCCGTACCAGGGTATTTGGGGGCTGGCTTCTGCTCTGGGAGTAGAACCTGGACCCCCTTGATGAGAGACAGGAATCCTAACCTGTACTCACTCCTGGTAGAAACCAGTTAGGAGTAGTCAAGGATTTTCATGTATCTAGATAGCTGTGTAAGTGCTGGTGGCGGCGCGAGTGACGAAATCAATTTACGTACAGTGAAAGCTAAGGTGGCCTATACTGATCTGGGCAGTTTTCGGCGCCTTCGTGATGTTAGTATGGCTGTAAAAGGTCGGATCTACAACGCGTCTGTGAGAGCAGTCTTGCTCTGCACTTGTAAAACCTGGCCTCTCCGAGTTGAGGACGTTAGACGACTCTCTGTGTTCGATCATCGTTGTCTCCGAAGGATTGCTGACATCCAGTGGCAACATCATGTTAGTAATGCAGAGGTTCGGCATCGTGTGTTCGGGTACAGAGACGATAATGCAATTGGTGTCACCATCTTGAAACACCGACTTCGGTGGGTTGGACATGTTCTCCGAATGTCGTCCCAGAGAATTCCACATCGTGCATCATTTGCCGACTCTGGGACTGGTTGGGAGAAGCGGAGAGGTGGTCAGTGTATGACATGGTATCGTGGTATGAAAGAAAGCTGCAAAGGACTGGCTTGTGTTGGTCCTTCACGACTCCCTGGTTGGGGTCCGAGAGATGGTACAACACAGTGGCTAGAGACGTTATCAGATATGGCTCTGAATAGAAGCCAGTGGCGATCATGCTGTAACCTTCTTTTACTTTCTTCATAAAAAGTGGTTGTATCTTCCTTAACTGAAAGATTTCTTCTGATTGTACCTTTCCGTTGCCTCATTATTACTATGATTATTACTACACTACCTTACACCAACCTCTTCGTTATTGTTCCTTTTTTTCACGCTCCTTATCTTTTTTTCTTCTTTCTCTTCAAATTCTCATTGTTTTGTGTGGTGCATGTATATTGGCGCAATCCTGTACCAATATATATGTGTTCAAATAAATAAATAAATAAATAATTCTTATTATGCATACCTTCCTTCCTCTATCTCTTCACAATTTTATTTTTACTGTGTGTCGCATATGTATTTTGGTGTTCCCTTGTACCAATATTTATGTGTTTAAATAAAAGTTTGATAACTGAAACTGGTATACTTCCAGCTTTTGCAATTTCTATGTTGGTCTGAGGGATACTTTTAGTAAAAATAGTTTCTTATTAGAATTTGAATTATGTGGTTATCTGGTATTAGGTTAAGTAAATCGTTTTCTGTTTCTAATGAGAATGATTTATCTTTGTTGTGTAATTCAACCACTTTTCAATTTGTCTATTTCTACAATTGTTAAATAATGAATATATGGTTTTATCCTGTCTTTTTTTTACGCATTTTAGAACTCCATGTTGTTCTATGTGGACTCTCTTGCATCTATGGAGACGTAAGTTATTTTTTTACTTAGTATTTTCTTTCACACTAGAAATCCAAATGATGATAATGAAAAACAAACTGATCAGGAATCTGAAAAATCATTAGTTATAACCGAAGATATTTCGAAAATTGAAGTGTATGTTGGACTATTTCATACTTATTCCAATCTAATTCTATTTCATTAAGACCTGAAGTGTCTAAATCACAAGAAGATAACAAATTGATAACGCATAATATAAATTGTGATTGGACGGATAAATTTTCAGTCAAAACTTCACATGTAAGTTTATAAAAATCAGAGATATATAGTAATGTTATCAATAATACTCATTTTTGTGTACAAACATAAACGTTTATTCCTTCCTGAAATATTTTTGTCATTTGACCACCCTTAATTTGTGAATCTTAATTCTGTATTACAAATATTGCAATTATAAGCTCAAAAGTTTTGTGAAATCGACTACAGTTCACACCAGTATACGGTCATGATCCGGTTGATATAAGTCGACCAACAATATTAACAGGTTTCTTAGTTGTACAGATATGATAGATAAACTAACAGAACTTTTGTGGCTGAGTTTACGATGAGTAATACAAGCGTATGTCACTTCAAAGAAATGTAATTTCTAACCAGAATACATCAATTCCAAGTACAGCATTTATGACAGGGAATTCACATTGATAGTCATGAATCAAGTAAACACACAGTTAAGATTAGCAGATTACAATGTTTATGTGTGATTATATATGGAGGCGGTGTCACTGTAACGTTATATGGATTGTGGAATGGTGGATTCCACATCGTTTACCACAGAGGGGAAATATAATAGCGTAGACTGTAAAACATACACTTTTGTTTCTGCGTGCATTGAATTTTTTTGAAAAGAACTTCACCAACAATAACTATATGCCTACTTATCCATAATCGGTACCAGTTAAAATAGTGACGAATACCAGCGATGTTATTGAAGATGATTAAAAAATGCCATTGGTTTTAAAATGTAGATTTTCTTCTCCGAGAAATAGTTAATTTCTCAGTACTTCTCAAATAAATCCAACCGTACAGCGAGCGCTGTCTGTAATTTATTAACTCCATACCTAACATTCAAAAGACCCTGACCTTCTGCAAATGCTGTTGGAAAACCCTTTTACTTGAGCTATGAATATTTCTCACTTTTCCAAAGGCATCAGTTACTGTCATCTTAATTTTATTGTGTGGGTATTAGATTTGCTTTGTCTATAATAGTCTTTTTCCCAGCTAGAAATATTTTTAAGAGGCAGCATCAGTGTTCTGACATTTTCACCCTTCACCCTTCATATACGGTTATTGATGAACCCAATTACTCAAATTGCTTAGTTCTATGGATTACTTTTTCCAACCGAAGCTCTTGACGGTCGAAGATGGATGACGTGGCGCAAAATTAGTCTCAGTGACTCATAAACACTGTTTTTTATCTTCCTTTAAATTTTAGAATAAGTGTCACTTCCGATTTTCCATCCATCGATTGCAATTGTTCTTTTTGAACTGTACTTCCTATGTATGGATTTCCATCCATCTATCCATAGCAAACACAAACTTTAAACATAAAGAATGATGTTGTCCAACATAGTGTCCCCTGAAATCGGCTTAACGATATATATAAATAGACCATATTGCCATCAGTCATCGTGGGAGAGTCTCAATAAAAGAATGCCGCTTATTCTAGAACATATGTTTAGACTTTGACCATTCTTTGGTGCCTGGGTCTTACTGGATGTAGGAAAGCCACATCTTAACGATGAAAAAGTCAAAAATATATTTCAGGAACAACTAGAGAAGTAGTTAATTAATCATGAAAGTGATGTCCACCGTGGGGTAGCTTAGCGTGATATACAAATAGCAATGAAAACAGCAGTGCGATTTATCAGTAACCTAAACCAAAAGGTTAAGTAATATCACTGGGTTTTTGTAGCATCGATAGATGCTCTGAAACTCATTCCATCGGGCTCTGAACACTATAGAGTGAAGGAAAATTAAAAATAGGCTAACAAAAGCCCGCACAATGATCGTGAGCAGTGGTGGCCAGCAAAACCAAGAAATGGAAAAGGCAACATCAGTAGGTAACCGTGGATGAATAATTAGGCTCATCAAGGAAATGGATATTAAAATCCCTCTGTTATTGAGACGATCTCGGAAAATGGAGGACTGTTACTTATTCTCGGTCCAGGAGATTCGATCGATGGATGAAACATTTTAGGGAATAGTTCAACTGACTTCCAACCAAATATTCAATATACAAACATGCCCCCAAAAGCCCTGGTACGGCCGAGAGTGGGGAAAGTCCGCTCCCCCTCTCGAAATGCTCTTACATGGCCACGCGTATATAGCCTCTGCCAGGGAAGTCCTACTCACTGCCTTCTGACACCACGGGTGTTGTTTACGAAAATGAGAGAACGAAAAGCGAATGTTCGGCGCTTTAATCGGGGCGGTGGACACGGTGAGTCCACCTAGGGGAGTTGGAAAACCCTGATTCCAAACCAATGGTGCACATGGACTCCAGTATCCTAAGGAAACAAATGGCGTATGAACCAATTGTTGGTCACCGGCTACCATGGGACTGCATCTCCTTACGATGATCCACTGCCTTGTCGATCAGACCTTCAGGTCGAAAGCTCAGGGAGTGGCCCCCTAAGGAAACCACGTGCTTTGGTTTGGGCATCTGGACAGTATCACACCTCTCACACATATCGAATGAGATTTGTGTGGCGCATATGTATTTGGTGCCTCCTTGTACCATTATCTGTGTTAAAATAAATAAATAAAATACAAACATACTTACCAACCCACAAATCAAATGACTTGTGTGGCGCATATGTATTCGGTGCCCCTTTCTACCAATACTTATGTGTTCAAATAAATAAAATAAAGCCCCGACTATAGTTGTATACTTTAACGTTAAGTCGGCGTTCATTTCCATTGACTGAGAGGTTCTATGGCAGTCTGTTGTTAAAAGATTTACTAAAGAGATAGACCAACCTTGTACAGACTTCCCACCCAAACAATACTGGTCGAATCAGAGCTTCTTGACTGTCATTAGCATTGCCAACCTCGAGTGGTGATCGTCAGTGTTATTTACTTTTCTCCACTTCTACTCAACTTTGTCATAGACGTCATTTTGGAGATAATGCTCTCACCGTCTGACTTTTCAGGGGTTGGTCTTCCACTGGGGGACTCAGTTGTTGATCTAGAAAACGCAAATGTTATATCTGTATGGTAGGGACGCTGAAAAACAGCCTTCTGATCTCCTTAAGAAACGAAGTAAGCATGTTGGGGATGTATTCTCTGTACAAATGCAAAACGTTGTTTCAGAACTGGTTTATGTCAACGCCTTGATCAATGATGGGGAGCGAATTAGTTGAGCCTGCCGACTATTTCATTTATCTAGGATGTCTCAAAAGCTCTGGTAAGTTGGTGTCTGGAGAAATCTCGGTGTGGGTTCAGAAAGTTGGCTGGTTTTTGCCAACTGGTGTCACTTGTGGCGTAGGTGAGATACCCGTCTACCAACCAAAGGACGAGCTTGCTGCTCAGCAATTCGATCTGTTCTACTTTATTGATGTGAAGCATAACATTAAAAATAAAGCGTATTCATAGGTTCATAGTGTTCAATCTTGGATACGTTTGAATCACTCCTTGTGTATCTTGGGACATCGGGTACTAAGTAATGATGACAAGTTGAATAATCAGGCCGTAAATCTTCATTAGCTGGGTAGTAGTTAGGACATGCATTACTCATCGAAGCCCGTCGGTCTACTCCGGGTGACCGTGAGTTTGGCCACAAACGAAGGATGTTACGTATGGAAATTGGGAAAAGCTTGCGTAAGGACCGAGAAGCCTGGTGGTCGATGCGTGCTAATGAGCTGGAAGCAGCAGCTGCATCTGGTAACTACCGGAAGCTCTTCCAACTCATCCGAGCCACTGGCAGCAAGAAGTCTGGTGTGAGCGAAACAATCTGTGAGGATGACGGGATGCCAATCACTAACATCCATCGACGTCTTGGACGATGGGCAGAATTTTTCGAAGGGCAGTTCAACTGGCCTGCTGCTCCGGCAACATCAGTCAAACTGTCCTGCCCTCCATGGCCGGTGACAATTGATCCACCAAATGAGGCGGAAGTCCGCAAGGAACTCCAACTCTTGAAGCGTTACAAATCACCTGGCCCAGATGACTTACCTCCGGCTCTTTTTAAAGATGGTGGTGACTTTCTGACTAAGGAATTGACGACGTTGTTTACAAAGGTTTGGGAACTAGAGAGTGTACCAACGTCATGGAATGAGTCGATAGTTGTCCCTATCTTTACAAAGGGTTCACGTCGTTCTTGTAACAACTATCGGGGGATAAGTTTACTTCCGATTGCGTCCAAGCTATTGGCTTCCGTCATACTTCGTAGGCTGTTCAAAACCCGAGAAAGATTGACTCGCGAGGAGCAGGCTGGTTTTCGTTCTGGTCGAGGATGTATTGATCATATCTTCACCCTCCACCAAATGTTAGAACACCGCCATACTCATCACAGGCCAACAATCGTAGTGTTTCTTGACATCAGGGCTGCCTTCGATTCGTTGGATAGGACTGTTCTCTGGGACTGTCTATTGAAGAAGGGTGTGCCTGAGAAGTTTATTAACATCCTAAAAGCCCTATATACAAACACCTCAGACAGAGTGAGGGCATACAACCACCTCTCTCCATTGTTCCATTCGAGCAGTGGGGTTAGGCAGGGATGCCCAATCTCACCATTCCTCTTCAACTTTGCCATCGATAACATTCTGGAAACAGTTCTGATGGATGTAAGTAATGACGGCGTAGATCTGTTGCTTGGAGAAAGACTTCTCGACCTTGAGTATGCGGACGATATTGTCTTACTGTGGGATAATGCCCAAGGCATTCAATCCGCACTTAATCAGTTGGCAATCAGTGTTCGTAGGTATGGTATGTGCTTTGCATCTTCGAAGTGCAAAGTACTTCTACAAGACTGGCAGGATTCTAATCCTGTACTCATCCTGGATGGTGAGCAGATAGAAGTAGTTGAGAAGTTCGTGTATCTGGGTAGTTGCATAAGTGCTGGTGGGGGCGTGAGTGATGAGATCAATGCACGTATAGCGAGAGCCAGAGCGGCTTATGCCAATCTGGGCCATCTCTGGCGCCTTCGTGATGTTAGTCTGGCTGTAAAAGGTCGGATCTACAACGCGTCTGTGAGAGCAGTCTTGCTCTGCACTTGTAAAACCTGGCCTCTCCGAGTTGAGGACGTTAGACTACTCTCTGTGTTCGATCATCGTTGTCTCACCATCCAGAGTGAGTACAGGATTAGAATCCTGCCAGTTTTGTAGAAGTACTTTGCACTTCGAAGATGCAAAGCACATACCATACCTACGGACATTGATTGCCAACTGATTAAGTGCGGATTGCATGCCTTGGGCATTATCCCACAGTAAGACAATATCGTCCGCATACTCAAGGTCGAGAAGTCTTTCTCCAAGCAACAGATCTACGCCGTCATTACTTACATCCATCAGAACTGTTTCCAGAATGTTATCGATGGCAAAGTTGAAGAGGAATGGTGAGATTGGGCATCCCTGCCTAACCCCACTGCTCGAATGGAACAATGGAGAGAGGTGGTTGTATGCCCTCACTCTGTCTGAGGTGTTTGTATATAGGGCTTTTAGGATGTTAATAAACTTCTCAGGCACACCCTTCTTCAATAGACAGTCCCAGAGAACAGTCCTATCCAACGAATCGAAGGCAGCCCTGATGTCAAGAAACACTACGATTGTTGGCCTGTGATGAGTATGGCGGTGTTCTAACATTTGGTGGAGGGTGAAGATATGATCAATACATCCTCGACCAGAACGAAAACCAGCCTGCTCCTCGCGAGTCAATCTTTCTCGGGTTTTGAACAGCCTACGAAGTATGACGGAAGCCAATAGCTTGGACGCAATCGGAAGTAAACTTATCCCCCGATAGTTGTTACAAGAACGACGTGAACCCTTTGTAAAGATAGGGACAACTATCGACTCATTCCATGACGTTGGTACACTCTCTAGTTCCCAAACCTTTGTAAACAACGTCGTCAATTCCTTAGTCAGAAAGTCACCACCATCTTTAAAAAGAGCCGGAGGTAAGTCATCTGGGCCAGGTGATTTGTAACGCTTCAAGAGTTGGAGTTCCTTGCGGACTTCCGCCTCATTTGGTGGATCAGTCGTCACCGGCCATGGAGGGCAGGACAGTCTGACCGATGTTGCCGGAGCAGCAGGCCAGTTGAACTGCCCTTCGAAAAATTCTGCCCATCGTCCAAGACGTCGATGGATGTTAGTGATTGGCATCCCGTCATCCTCACAGATTGTTTCGCTCACACCAGACTTCTTGCTGCCAGTGGCTCGGATGAGTTGGAAGAGCTTTCGGTAGTTACCAGATGCAGCTGCTGCTTCCAGCTCATTAGCACGCATCGACCACCAGGCTTCTCGGTCCTTACGCAAGCTTTTCCCAATTTCCTTACGTAAAATCCTTCGTTTATGGTCAAACTCACGGTTACCCGGAGTAGACCGACGGGCTTCAATGAGTTGTAAGGAACCAGAAGAAACCCAGTGCTTAAAAGCGGGACGTTTCGCAAACCCACAACTGACTGTTCCCGCCATTTTCATGGGGTCATGCAATTGCAACCAATGCTCATCTATACTTTTCGGTGGATTGGTAGCTAGCCTAGAGGCTAGCTCGGTTCGATACTTACTTGCAACAGAAGTTGCAACCAGCTTGCTAACATCAATCCGTTGATGGCGTTCACTTCGTTGTCCACTGAAACGTAAGGTAAGATTGGCACAGACCAGGGCATGATCAGAGTCCAGACAGGTACTCCAGAAGGAGAGGCAGTCTTGTACACAACCACGCCAGCGGTAGCTGATCGCGATGTGATCAATCTGAGTCCAGGCTTGAGATGCAGAGGGAGGACGCCAGGTGGCACATCGGCGATGACTGTGCCGAAAGTTAGTGCTAGCCAGAAACAGGTTGTGGTCTGTGCAAAGTTGCAGTAGACGGTCCCCGTTATTTGACCTGCGACCAACGAGTCCCCATCGGCCACCTAAACGACTCTCTTCTGTGCCTAGACGCCCGACCTGAGCATTCAAGTCTCCGGCTAGTACTACAATATCTGTCGAACGCACTTTCTGGAGAAGAACTGATAACTGGTGGTAAAACTCATCCTTGATTGCATCCGGGCTGCAATCTGTCGGGGCATAGTCGGAGATGACGAAAAGACATCGTTTCTCACGCCGATTTCTTCTCACTTTGATGGAACTTTCTAATCTAACAGCACATAACCGACTGTTAATGGGGATCCAATCGATTAGTGCTGCCTCAGCTCTAGCGCTCAGTGCGACACCAACGTTAACAAGACCAGACGAAGATGCCACAGGGTCCCCGGATAAGCGCACGTAAAACAAGCTTTTAGAAGCGACAGATGGAGATCGAATTTGTAGTACTTCGCCAGAGTCTTGAATACGGGTCTCGGATAGACAGCACACGTCGATATTAAGACTTTCCAAAGACATAGCCAGCCCTATCTGTTGTCCGACCTGCATAAATGTGCGAACGTTGAAGGCAGCCAGTTTGAATGATGCACGTGGTTTCAGAAAATCTGCTTCAGTCCTCGTATTCGGTGGTAACATACAATTTTCAACCGGACAGTGACTCGAGAACGTTTAGATACAGTCGGAATTCCACCAAAGACGAGCCGCTGTATAAGTATTAAAGAAGGTGAATAATGTGGAAAATAATAATAATAATAATAACAATAATGACAATAATAGTAGTAATAATAATATTAGTATTAATAATGACAATAATTGTAGTGATCATAATTTGAATCAATTGATTGTTTTTCAAAGCGACAAAAGTAATTTCCATGGACATAGAGTTCATCATTTGTGTGTGGGCTGTGATACTGCCCGGGTGCCCAAACTGAAGCAGGTGGTTATCTTAGGGGGCCACTCCCCGAGCCTTTGACCTAAAGGTCTAACCCAAAAGGCAGTGGAGCATCGTAAGGAGATGCAGTCCCATGGTAGCCGGTGACCAACGATTGGTTCATACGCCATTCGTTCCCGCAGGATACTGGAGCCTATGTGCACCATTGATTTGGAATCCGGTTAAAGCGCCGGACATTCGCTTTTCGTCCTCTCATTTTCGTAAACAACACCCCCGCCACGAGAAGGCAATGAGTAGGACTTCCCTGGCAGAGGCTGTATACGCGTGGCCGTGTGAGAGTATTTCGAGAGGGAGAGCGGACTCTCCCCACTCTCGGCCGTACCAGGGCATTCAGGGGGCTATAACTGTGGAGTATACTACTTATGCAGATATAAGCAGTGTGTAACACTAGTGGGAAGTGGAATGTCTGCCAGCAGAAGGTTGAGGACATTTAAGTGAATAAAAGAGGGAAGGGAACTGAAAGCAATAAAGATAAAAATAGAAATGAAGAAATAATGAAGCTTGCAAGAGACAATTCAAAGATATGCAAGCGATGTATTTGATGTACGAGTTTCACATTTTACTAAACCAATTTGTGATTGTGCATTAAACAATAAATTGGTTATCTCTATCTGATTATTCAATCACCACACAGCCACTGAAATCTAGACCATAGAACAATGTCTGTGCTCACAAAATAGATTGTGGCCAAATTTTTATGGTCGCTCACTCCCAGAACCGTAGTTTCAGCTGAGCGTCCACTCTCCTTTTCAAAACCCTTTCATACGATCATACGTTTATAGCCTTTTTCAGAGAAGTTCTGCTCATTGCTTTCGCGTAGTATTATCCTCACGTAAAAAGTACTGTTGGATTGGGTTTGGTAGATATGAAGGGTGCAAAGTAGGCAGACACTGATTTCAGACCGGTGGTATAAATGTGATCAAAAATCCTGAGGAGACAAATACCATATAAACTTCCTCTGATCACCATGAAATTGAGTCCCCTAACACTACTCCACTTCTTTGCGAACTAGACCTTTATATCAAGAGCTCGAGTGAGGGTGTTTCCATAACAGACTGCCAGCCTTCTCGAAACTCGAGGAATAATCATAGCCCTCACATGGCTGACAATGATTAATGGTGAGGACAACATAAATCACGAGCCAATAACCTTGTCTTTTAAATGAGACAATATAGAATCTTCTCTGTCTGATGGTTCTACTTACTAAATTTTGTTGATTAATTCTTCAAATCCCATTATACTGTCAGTTTATACCGTGCTTGACAGTGTAAAACAAACATTCTTATATCACAAGCTTTATTCTATTGATTCTCTTTATTTTACTATAGATATTTCACTCGATATGATTTTATTGGTGAATTAATATTTCTGCGCTCAATTCATTGTTTTCAGTCCTATCAGGTTGACACATGTATCAGATGCAGTTTTATGCTTTTATACACTGCCACAATGTTCAAATTTTAGAATTTGTTACAAAGAAGACATGGGTAGTTGCCCTTCATAAATGTTAGAATTTACCTTTGGTTGTTAAGAAATTAAAAGCAGGGAAAATTCACGTTACTTATTACTTATAAAATTCAGCTTTGTTTATCCAACATTTCAACATGTTCTTCAACACTAAGGCGTTGGTATATGCACAGAGGATGATGTGAATAATGAATTTATACCACAATTGCCATTATTTCATTTGTGTTCGAGGATTTCATATCTCCAACAAATTTGTACCTGGTAAATTAATTGAATAAATAAGATAATTGTTCTGTATGAAGTTGTTCGACCAACTCTGCAATAATAATTACGATGAAGTCACCGATCTCCTTATCTTTCCTTATATTGTTTTTATTTAAGGTTTGGGAACAGATTAAAAAGGATTTTAATGAAGTTGTTCATTCTGTCTCTGAACCAAAGGATGTTGTATATCGTACTGCTTTTTCAGTTCGTGATCGTATCACAGCTGCTGCAAATACAGTAAAGAACCTAAATCCTAATGAATTTCTTTTGCCGGATAATGAATCGGAAACTGATCAACAGTTTACAAAGAAGGGAAATATCGTTGATGATGGTAAAAATAGAGCTTTATATGATTATTTTGAAATTGATCTTTGTATGGTTGATTCTTGTAATAATTAATTGTAGTATTTTTAATATGTTGTAAAGAATATAACTGATCCTAACGTACCAAACGATAGTTATTTCTGTGTACGCTGATTCTAAACTCCGTTTAGAGTTATAGAATGTTCAAGGTAAGATATTTATACTGAAGTACAAAGTTTTAGGGGTTATTTACTGGCTGATATGTTTCAATTTGCAATCAGCAGTTTGAACGTCATCGTACTTATATACACCTGTTACCCCTCGTGGAGAAGCATAGGCCGCCCACTAGCATTCTCCATCCAACTTTGTCCTGGACAATCCTTTTTAGTTCTTTCCAGTTGCTATTCATCTTTTGGGTGTCTGCTTCTAATCTTCGACTCAGTGTGTTCTTCGGTTTTCCTCTTTTCCGTTTCCCTTCAGGATTCCAAGTTGGGGCTTGCCTAGTGATGCATTTTGATGATTCCCTTCAATGTATGTCTTATCAACTTTTAGCGCCTTTTCCTAATCTTCTCTTCAGTTGTGAGCTGTTTTTTCTACTTCCGCAATAGGCTGTTGCTAATTCTATCTGACCGACAGACATTAAGTATCTTGCGTAGACAATTGTGTATAAATACTTGTACTTTTTTTGATTGTCATCGTAATAATTATTAAATTGATATAAATAGTTTTGTTACAACGAACTATTCTCAGTAGATTGATATTTTTCATCAAATTCCTGACTAGAGAATAATAGCATTTCTAGTAACAAGAGTGTAAAATATTAAGTTTTATATGGTCGGTCGATATTCGGTTGCAAACTGGAGTGATCTTGTTTTTCTCAAGTCACTTATTATGTATAGTTTAGTGCACTTGTCTTTGAGTCATACTTTAAAGAAAAAAGTCTGGCATTGTTACTTGGTTCTTCAAATTAAAGTAGGTGGAGCAGGGTTAGAACCCATTACTCACTAGCTAAAAGTTGAAAGCTTTGATCACACCCGCCTATGCAAGCTATTTTGTAAACAGCGTTCAAAACAAAACACAAAACAAGACCAAAACAGTCTGAAATCGAGCGAAATTGTCTCTTCAAAACTCATGTTTGGAGCGGTGAAATTTCTACAATATTCAGTCGTTAATAAGTATTGAAATTAATGATGAACATTGACGTAACAAATAATGATATCGTACTTTTTGCTAGATTATATTTTTAGTTAAGTTATATTCAGGGGAACTAAAATATACTTGTCATTTTTCTCAGTAAAACAATAATTATAGAATTACAAGTATAGGGGTTGTGGAGATTATCAAGTTTTTGATTGAGATCATGAACCGATTGATGTTAGACCACCTTTGGAAACCTGGAAGCACTGCTGAGGAGTCCCACACTAGGACGAAACGACCGTCCAGTGCTTCCAGGTTTCCATAGGTGGTCTAGCATCAATCGGTTCATGATCTCAATAAAAAAAAATTATAGAATTATCTGATTCTTTACTTGTGTATATACGGTTGATAAGAACTTATTAATAAGTTTCCAGTTACTGTATCAATATCCACTGTACTTCATCCTGGATGTAAAAACAACTCACGGTCGAGGAAGATGAATTACACTGTCCACAAGACTGTAAAACTGACTATCTGATCAATATTCAATAAATAAAATAGTGAAGATCACGATCATTTCTTTTTAAATAATAACATATGATAAAGTTGTTAATTACTGCTGAGATATATTAGTGGTAATAAATTATTTCTTTTACTTACAATTTCAACTGGATTACTACCATTTAATACAAATCAGTTAGGTTATATTGATAAGTTGAAAAAGTATATCCGAGTAAACAAATAGAAATTTTTATTTAAAACCATCAAATACTTTCAAGACTAAATTATCATATTAATGAGTAAACTGTAAAGAATTTATTTGTCTTATCTCTGGATTATAATACAGTGAAAAATCGTATATGTAAGATTTTGGGGAGTTAAATTTAGCTTGTCATACGCGGTCTAAAAATTCCAGAGTAGCAAGTTAAGAAAATCTTTCTTTAGGAAAACAGAGTCATAACTAAACACAAATGTCCTTTCTTTATGCTTAATGCTAATTGAATTACGGTCATATCTGAAAGCAAGAGATCAGAACAGTTCCAGTCCATGAATTCAGTAATCTCTAGTTTGTACTAACGCTCAAGTTGTGTTTGTAAAGACAATTGGATTTAGTGATATACCCCTGAATGATTAAATGGGTCGAAACCGGTCTTAAACATTCTATAACTACTGTTAATTATTCTTTTCTTAAATATTGACCCGCTTTCCTGCATATTCTAATGTCTTCTCATTCTTTTGGATTTTCTCTTCATGTTTTACTGTTGTTCTCAACGTTCGCGAAAGGCTCTGCAGTGAGATATCTATCTGTTCATAGTTATACTTTGCTAATCAATAGTAACCATCTCTACGACATTAAAGTTGAGTAGAAAGTAGTTAAAGCAATCGTTTATGAGTAAGTGACACTAATTTCATCTTCACAGATAAATGAGTCTTAAATATTTGTCTCGATTTCTAAGCTATTTTTTTCACTCATCGATCTATCAATAAGTATGGTGTCATGTGAGAATTTTCGTCTAAATTTGAAGGAATATTCTCACAGTATTTGGGCACCGAGTTGTTGTAAGACATTAAGTAGAAAAAATGTATTTGTGAAATCTCAACGAATGAATTTGAAGTAAATTCAACGTTTCGCTCGGCAATCTGATCCAAGATTTTTCAAGGAAATATAATGAAACAAAAATGATCGAATATCATTACTACATATTTTTCCACTGTTCTATGTGTTAATTATTTTCATCTTTTCTTTTGTAGACTTGACGGCCTTACCACCGGCGTTGCCTAGCTTCACGAATATTAAACAAGATGTATCCCAGTTGGTCGATTCTTTATATAATGGTATAATGTCGACTGGCACGTATTTCGGTTTAATAACTGGAGAAAATCAATGTAAAGATAAAAGTAAACACCAAGTATGTTGTTTTTATTTTGTTCAAAAACACAGTGTTGAGAGGATCTAGTTTATTATAGTTATTGTTATAACTATAACTGCTGTAGTTAAAACTCAGATGAATAGATTTTCGAATTAGTATGCACGGTTTTTGGAAATTGACCAACTTGTGTTTACCGTTTACATCACCAACTAATCTTAGTTAGATAACAATTGAAGCGAGATGATCCTAAAAGTTTAAATTAGAAGCCATGACTAATGAAGTTCAGCCGTATCAGGTGTAAAACAGTCATTTACCAGTGGCATCGAAAGATGGTCGCGCAGTACTGTGGATTGATTAGGGTTAGAAGCGTGAACCACTGGATGTCACCTCAATGGTCTAAAGTTCGGGCTCTTGATTTGATGCCTGAAGTTTCTGGGCTCGATATTTCTGGTAGGGTCCGGAATGCATACTGCCAGGAAGTCCTATACTGTGACAAAGCAGCTGTTTGATTTTTTCTGGTATTCAATGATTGTTTAGCTAATGTAAACTGCAAAAAAGCTTCAAATGCTTATCCTACCATAGCATGTCTGTTAGTTTTACGGTCCAATAGTTTGCATACTAGACTATCAGCGATTGAGTTACTAGTAAGTATTTACTTTGTTTGCAAATTGAAGAGTAGCAGCTTAAAACTTATGAATAGACTCAGTGTATAGTTATGTGTCAACAAAATTAAAGTCACTTGTTGTTCACAAGTTTAATTCCAAATTTTTATAGTTTGTACTGTTCCAAAATTTGTCTGATCTTATGTAATTTTGATCCAGAATCGATAGTATGCTCTAAGTAATAAAATTGGATTGATCCTGTCATCATAATTTTTTTAACTAATTATTATCAATTGAGATGTTGGTAATTCATAAATTGCCCAATAAATACATTAACTAAGTTCCTAGTAAATTTACCTCCTGAAAATTAGCCTACCCCATTCCTATCCCATTCGAAATGCTTCTTATTTGTAGCAATACACTGTTGGGATCGCTAAGTCCCCAGAAGTATCTCATTTTCGCTCCAAAAGCCACCCACTTGGAAGGACCCTGAATGTCATTGGTTCGTTTCCTCTTTTAGTACGCTATTTTGTGACGTTTTTCAATGACATTTTTGCACTGTATGGATATGCATGAGTTGTGCGCTCGTTAATTTATGCTTCTGGCTACGCGTAAACTATGTTTTTTTTCCGGGGCGATTCTGGTCTTCTTTCTAGTTAGTAGAGCTGGGACTCAGTGGAATAGCTTAGCTTGTCCTGTTATTGTGTTGCTGACTTCGTCCCGTTTCGCTGTTTCTAGGTGATATCGTAATCTCTTCAAACGTAGCATACACTTACCCTGTCTCCATTTTTATTGTTCATGACTTCCTTAGACGTTCAAAAACTCAGACTCTTCAGCTTCCTCGTCGCTTCATTTTTTGTAGAACTATGTACATAGATGAGCTTAATAGACTTGTAAAAGCTGTTTTCTTAATTGCGTTATCTACGTAGTCCTATCAACACTACATAAACATTTCTGAGAGTTTTTTCAAACTTTTGCCTTTGATCTTATAAGCTCAGTTCGTTCATTTATCATCAGACAAACGATATTTTATCCTTGTACAAACATCATAAGTACCACTAGGTTTATAATTCATTCTAGTGTTACCTATTTGTGTTTCACTTATCACTCTCATCAATCCTTGTTCTCTGTTTGATTATTCTTGTTCTTTATCATTATTATTATCATCATCAGTGTACATCTTTTGTGCTATCGTTCTGACTGATATATATATATATATATATATATATAACTTTCATCAAAGTAATCCTTTTCAACTATTTACTCAAAACTAGATATTTATTATTCCATAATTACAACTCATTCTATTGATATTCCAACCAACAGTTGGAGCGGTAGCGTATTGGTTATATCATTCAACTGTCAATCAGTGGATTATACTTCCGAATCCTCCTTCTACTTCTTTCCATTTGGTCAAGCAGATAAAATCATTGTTGAAACGGTTTCCGAGAAGCACAACGGAGTCTCCAAAAGAGCCGAAGAGTTTCCACCCTATCAGAACTTGATGGAGCTTTCTAGAATATCAACGTGGCATGCTACGATTGGACGGTAGCATAACTTACCTCCTTGTAAATTGGCTGAATCATAATGATGTTATGACGAACACCAGTATCTATGAACACCCATGATTTCCCGTACATTTCTGATTTTTACTGAACAATCACTTCTGTCAATTACTTCTGTCTTCTGATTTGAGACTGTGGGGTTCTATACGTTCGAGTGCCGTTATTTGTATATCGTATTCTGCGTTAATTAAGTAATGAACGTAACAATCACTAATTTTGAAACCAAAAATTTAATTGACAAAAATAATATATTTTTAATATCCTAATGAGTGGTAAAATTAGGTTTTAAATTTTCCGACGTCTCGTGACTTAATATAAGCCACTTCTTCAGAAAATAAAATTTAATGTGCTTTTATACATGCTACATACATTTGTTGTATTTCCTGATTAAAAAATTGGTAAACCATGTCCATTTTCCTGATTATTTGTAAGATGTTTGTGCATGATTTTCCTAGTAGTTTTAGATTCAGTTTTCGCATTACATTTTTCGTTAACTTTTCGTGGTGTCTAACTAGTTTTCTTTGCTTTTTTTAATGTAAACGTAGATTATTGTATGACAATGAAAAATTTATATTCTTAAGGAAATATTATGAAGAAATTCTGTTGTTTGAATATTATAAAAGCACTATTATCATGACACAAAACTGATACATACATTTTGTGGCTGATGGGGATATTTTAGTCAATCCTTCAAAATTCACTTGTACTAACAATCAACAGTAATTAACGATACATATTTAACAAACAAAATCAGGAATAGAACTTTTTAAAATTTAGTCATGTAAGATACTATTGTAATAAATAAAGATTTGGGTATGTTAATCTAATTTATTGTGTTGTGCATAATCACTGAGGTGTCCTACAATAGGACGAAACGACCGTGCAGTGCTTCCAGGTTTTCCATGGTGGTCTATTTTCAATGGACTCATGATCTCAACTATCAAAATAAAATGCTTTAAATTCTCCATTTGCTCAACTTCCTTGAATTGTCTCTTACAAACTTCGTTTTCCCGTTCGTGTTGCTACTCTGTCTTTGTTTTTCTTTCTTGTGTCTACATTTTCCTCTTCTGTCAGTAAGAATCCGACTTCCAGTTCCTGTCCATATAAGTAGCACACACCGCAACAGTTGAGACATATTTATGAAAGCTATTTCTGAACCTATCTGTAGCTGTTGTTTTGGTTATGTAGTTAGACTTAAGCTATATTGTCTGGGATACTTGTTCAAGTTCCTCCCATACCAGTCAGTTTGGTTAGAGAACGATAAAATGAAAACACGATGCTCTAGTTTCGAAAACGAAGTATTGGCGATTGTACCCTTGTATGATGATATCAGAGTGTTTCACGCAGGTAAAGAGAATCTCTAGTCATGCTGTTTTTCTGCAGTCATAAGGAGTAATTAAAATGTCGAGTTTCAAAATACCCAATCCTCTCTTGCTCAGTATATTTCCGATGTCAAGTATAAGATTTGTAAAATGTGAGGGGCCAGCACAGCAAAAATCATTCATTCAGAGGTCCTTTTTAACCATTCTTGATCACTTATCCCTCCAACATTATGATCACCCCAATAAGTTTAGTATCCTACTGCATATGATTTAAAAATCGAAATATTCTCGTCCTATCTAAGTTGAAATTCCATTCTTATAGAACATTTGCTACATTGTGATAATAGGGAGAATTCGGTAAGTGATTTATCAGTTTTAAGTATCAAATTTATACGCATAACTGACTTAGTAAATTCATTTTTTAAGTTAACACAACCGATATTTTAAGCTTGGTTAAAACATCTTATTCTAAAATTTGGTTAATAATTTACCACATTTCAAAAATATATGTTAATTTTACACGTCATCTGAATGTACATTGTTGTACGTTTTTTCCAAAATCTTAATCAATGTAACCATTTCAAACACGTGTTTGTCTTTTATTATTAAATTTATTTATGTAACTAATTAAATATATTTTTTGCTTCAGACTCGTCTTGATTTACTTAGAGCAGATCCTGCAACATATGAATTGGAACCACCAATGCCTCCAGCATCGTCTGGTATACATTCATATCATGATTGGAGATCAGCGTATTTTGATGAAGATAATTGTCAACCAATGAATGGTGTCCTGTTAGCAAATGCTAAAAGTCATGAATATAGTAATGTTCCAATTGAAGAACTTACACAAGCACCACATCCTAGTCCTGAAGAATTATTGGATTCATATCCTTTTATGCGAACATATTTAACTCAACTTGTTCATCCAGATGGTAAAATTAATGATAAATCTATGAGTGATGCTGATTTCTGGTCAAGGTATTACTATCGTGTATGGTTATTGGATTCAACTGAATTTCATAGAAGAAAACTTAATGAACGAGTAGAATTCGTCTCAACTGTCAAGCAAACCATACCGAATGAACCTACTCGGTATGCTAACGATACCAATGAAACCTGTAAAAATCTAAATGTTACTCAAGATGATGAATGGCCAGGTTAGCACTTCTATCTGTTTTCTTAAAATTTCAACTTTGGATGTTTCATGTACTTAGTACAGCAGATGAACAAGGTGACAACATTATACTATACGTACGAAATTAAGTGACTGTAAAAAAAGCTTGCGAGATTTCACACAGTTATTAGCCAGTCAGAATGTCTGTAACATAAACAAATCATTTACCGTGAAAAACCAATAAGTTTAGGTTTGGGATAAATACTTTACTTGGTTTTTAATAAAGTATAAGCTATTTGTCAACTCGTTTGGAATTTGACGCAGAAGTCTAACAACCGTTGTCGTAAATTCATTTTGGTCTGTTGGGGGAGTATAGTTCCACCGTCACATATCTATTACTGTCATTAGAATGAATCTAGGATTGTGTAGTTCTACAAAAAATTTATCACTCATTCTTTTTAAGCTTGGAAGTTTTCCAGTTTTTTAAATTAATCATAGTTGGATCGTTCTACTATCATATGATCTGCTGTTGGAACGTTGTTGTCGCAAAGTTGAATTCAAGACACAAACACAAATATCACTAAACAAAATAAAGAACATAAGAATGTTGTTTGGTTTACATAAATAAGCTGCGCATAACTTTACCAAAATAGTAAGATCTCTGCAAGTATCATGTCATATCCAGTTGTTTTAGATTGTAATCTGGTGTAATAGTGATTGTATATTTTGTGCTCTTTTCTAAAACTGGATTTGATTATTTTCCGATGCTAAATATGTCTCTCAGATTATTGAACAAGACAATATAGTTTTAGATTAACATTGAGGTTTTGTCGAGATTGCAGAATTTCGGAGTTTACATCACGAACTGATCCTATTTAGAGGATCATTGAAAACTGGCAAACGATAAACAACTGTTTCATTCAAGTATGGAACTGCTCAAGAGTCTACATTCACAACTGATAAATCTTCTAGTTGAACCCTTGAGTCGATTTCCTGAGCTCTTCTAGTAATTCCTAGACTAAATCTACACGATAACTTGAACACGATCGAAAAGGTGTGAAATATGGCAAGGACGCTTTATTCCAAAGTTAGTTTGTGTACAGAAAATCTAGGGTGTTTATAATATCTCATATGATCTTGAGCTTCCGGAAAGTTGTGAAACCTTTCTAAACATAGAAGCAGGATCAGTAATCATCCAACCAGAAATCTGACACGTGGTTTTTCACTTTCTAGATCTTTCTGAGGAACTTCTTTTGAATGCTGGTTGGATAAGATGTTTCCCAGCGTTCTCGTTGTCCCTTTGAGCTTTATTCGAGGAATTTTTAGGGTCACCCTAATGACGACTCGATTGGGGATCGAACTCATGACCTTCAGGTCTTGCAACGATTGCTTAGTTTTTAAACTATTTAAGAAGCAGCCGCTGGTTTGATTTTTTAACCTTGTTCAGTTCACAATACTGCTCAACCGATTTCCAATGTCATCGGTAAGTAACTGCTTCACACTTGACTTAGTTTCAATTCATTGGTCATGGCTTCTAACCAGAATTCCGGAAATTGCCTCTCGAAATTAGTCTACGGGACAAAATTGCTGTGTGGTGCTTTCTGGTTTTGTATGTGTTGTTCGACGAAGGTCAGTCCTCAATTTTAAACTACAAATAGAACACTAATCACCCTATAATCATTTTTTCAGTGTTCATAGATTTTTTTAATTTCTGTACCTGACATCCACTAAGTGTTAAAAATAATCCAAAATAGTGTATTGAAATTTTTGTAATTATAATCAAGTATCGACTCCAGTGTTCTTTTGAGTTGTTAGTATTATGTTCAAGGATAGGAAGTTAAGCACACCGTAATCATATGGTTTTCTTACTTATTAAATTTTTACAAGTTATTATCATCTGACCAGCTAATTGTCTTTAAATACTTATCACATTAATTCTATCTGACATACGCATATATATATATATATATATATATATATATATATATATATATATATATATATATATGATCCAGGTCATCATTAGTAAATTGTATCCAATTAGTATTATCTCGATTATTCATTGCTTGTCGTTCGAAGTTGAATATATCTGAAATACGATACTGAGACACTCATTCCCTTAATTCCTACCACATTGGTCAAGTCGATTGGAGTGTGGTCAGACTGAAAGCGCCAAAGTCATTGATCAGAAGAGCAAATCATACTGTTAGCTACTGAGGTATAACCGACAAAATGCTTGACTCGGATAAGCGTTCGCGGCACTTTACTTACTACAATGGAAAAACCGGTTTAGCAAAGGTGTGCTTTGGGAATAGAACATCTCACCTTGCTCCGCGGATATTCGCCGACGGCACCAAGGCCTTAAATTTTGAAGCTAGCACATCTGAAACTACTTACATAAATTCAGTGCGTAACCGGCCTCAGACACTTTCTTGGGCAGTGCAGTCACATAAGCAGGTTATCAAGACCACCTTAAACCCCGTTTCAGTTTTTGTTACCTCAAAAATCAGTACCCTCCCACGGTATGGGCGACCAGAGCGTTACCACTGCCTTCATTATTCCTAACATCAATTAACCATTAGACCTAGGTGTTTTAAGTATCATACACTCGAAATACGTAGTCGTTCCTTATTTAATACAAGTATTTTACACGTTAAAATTCGAATAATCAAAAACTATTTTCAATTATTGCTGATTAGTCGTAACCAGTACATTTTGATTTTGGTGCACTTTTTATCAATCGTTTGCACTTTGCTTAAATGAATAATCACTGAAAATTCACTGTTAACGATAATGATTTTAAAATTCTCATAACTAACGATTGGAAATAGCATGATTTGTATGATAAATCACTAAATAGACCACTGTAGATGACCAAACGGAAATCAAATTAAATTTCATGTGAATGACCTTAATCATGAAAAACTTTCACGTTAAGAATAGTCAGTTGGAATATGCTATGGCATTACTTTTTTTCAAGAAGTGATATTTTTAAAAAAGCTGCTTCAGTACATTAATCTTTCCTAACGTTCATTCTTGAATCTATTGAGTTTATCTTTTTTTCAACATCAGTTCAGTACCAAGTCGATGATAGAATGGAACCTTTTTCACTAGGATTAACGAATGCTAAACTTATATTACCAAAAGAAGTAGGAGTAAATCTTTTGAAAGTCATAAATATTTCTACCTGAGGTTATCTGCAACATCTTCAATGTTCAACAAGCGTGTCGTGTGTCACTATCCTTTTCCGGCGATGTATTCGTATTTAATTTGACGTAGTGATTGGGTGTTTCTAGTCAAATTACAGTGATTGTATCGCTTCATTTTTGAATTCTCACTATATCATACAAGGTTATTTTTAAAAAGGCGAAACAAAATGAAGCAAATTTCAGATCTAAGGAGAGTAGGCTAAAACCTTCACCATTTGTTTTGCCAATATCTAAAAATTTAATTGCAATAACAAATGAATTCTAAGAAAGTCATTGTGATAGAATTCGAATACTTTTATTAGGCGAAAACGAATTAAATGTAGATTTATAAAATATGTAGGTAATCACTGTGAACAGTAATGACGGTCAACAAAAGCCAAGCATAGCAATGATAGATAACAGTAAAATAGTTGTTCAACATTACCGAAAAATGGTCTTGAGTTAAAAAAGCCAGCAACTTATCCGATTCGAATCATGTTATCTCATTACTAGATAGTTCACATTGTCATCAAGTTTGGTGATGTGAAATAATATATTGGTAGTTGTGGTCAAGCTTGTTCAGTATCTCATGTGTCGTAGGTGTATATACTCTGTGTCTTCCCTTAAACTATGAGATTAAAATTGCTTTATATCTTTCTTTCTACCAACTAATTCTTTCTGTACTATATCCTTATATGCAATCTTTTATGTATTACCACCATTGAATTAACTACTATGAATTTAGTGTTCACCTTGTTGTGCTAATGAAGTATGGCAACTTAGATCGATGTATATATGTACCTTGTCCTACGTTGTAGCCGACTGACTGACTGTGGTATTAATACGGAACCTAGAAGTTTTGATTTGATAATTCTTGCTACCGACCCGCTTAAATTGTCTTCCTAGCTAGTTCTGATATCCCCAACTACTTCTGTACGTCAACTGAAATGCTACAGAAAAGGCGCGAAATACGAATAAAAGCTTTACTCCAAGGTTAGTTTATGTGCAGAAAAATGATGGTGTTTACAGTGTCACGCCTGTCCTTAGATTTCTGGAACCATACTAAAAACAGTAGCAGTACAGGTAGATATCCAATTACAACCGTGACACGTGGTTCTGCATTTACTGGATGTTTCTGTGATGATTATACTGAACGCTGATAGGATAAAAGGCCTTCTAGGTTTTCTGGGCCTCTAAAAACTTTGATGGGGGGATATTTTTGGGACTCTTCCAACATGATTACACTTCTCAAAGAAGTCATTTGTATTTAAGCAATGATCTTAAACTATGGTTTAAATTCGTTTCATTTTCTCTCATATCCATTAGATAGTGATGATCATACAACCGTGGAGAATGAATCAGAAATTTCAAATGATGAATTCATTACAAAATACTGTAATAATGATACTACTATTACTAGTACCAGAAGTGATTCGCAATGCAGTAGTAGATCTTTCAATCAAAACAATAGCATTGAAAAGAAAATCCGCCGTAATAGTGATAGTAGTAGTAGTAATAATAATGATAATGAGAAATCAAATCACGAAAGCAAGTCTAAAAGAAAACATAGTTACAGAAAACCATTGAATAAAAGCAAACACTTGAGGAAGTTAAGTTGTAACAAGAAAGAAAACTTGTCGGATAGTCTTAAACCGGACAATATAAAAGTCGAATGTTCATCTACTCTACCGGTAAGCAGTCTCATTTGTATTATTTTAAATATGGTGAGCATGTTAAAGTCCTAGAGTTGACAGCAATTAACGTTAACAAGTTAGTAAACTATGTACATATGTATGCGCTAACTAATTCGTCACTTACTTGGAAGTGACAGACGTGATTGTTATGATCTTTGAGAATTCACAGTCGTGACCAGAATGTAAAAGTATTTTGAGTTCTTAGATAATAACATCGGATCAAACGAAAATCTATGACGACTATATATACATATGCCGCTCGTAATCTGACCAAACTCTGGAAAATGTATTAGGACAATACAAAGTGTAGAATAATACCTCGACGTAAAGAAAAATGCTCAAGGTAGCACTCAGCTTTATAAATCAAGCAATTTTATGACTGTTTAATATAAAATAAATTATATAAACCTTGCAGCTGTCTCCAATTATTATTATTTTGTGCTTTTCATTTTTCAATCCCTTTTTTCGAATCATTAGCAAACTAAAGCTTGTCATATTCGACCATCTGTGCACAGTGAGATAAAAATTACCAAGACCAATTTCTAAGTAGCAGAAATAGTATCCGTATCAGTTTGTGAAACAACATAGTATAAGTATTTTAAAACTAAGGGTCTCCCTCCTTCTAGTCAAACAAGTTGGTGAAGCCTAGTGGGCCCTTCTGGAGAGAAACAGGCCACATCAAAGCATAGCACAACTACCAGGGCTAGAATAGTTGTTTCTGCAATCCTTTGGAGTTTGCCCAATGACGAGCAACTCCATATGATAGATGCACCACTTTCGAGAAACTTTTTTGTCGTTTTCCATTCCAAATGTAGTTGTGCTATGTTTATCTGTGGAGTTCGTAATCAGTTGATGGGTATAGGTAAGAGTGGGTGATTAGCCCGATCTCCACCACCCGGGTTACCGCTCACGTTAGTTCATGAGTCATTCGTCTCATTATCCAGGAGGCACGACGCGGACGTGTGAGTTGGATTTTGCCGAAGGGAAAACAATGAATGAGTGGATCTGAATCCCTGCGACCGATTCAGGGTTATGTCACTTAGCTTATCCAACTACTGGTTGTGATAGTCCTGCGAACCCTAACCATATAGTCTGCAGCTACCTACACTGCTCATTTCAACAGTTAGTGACTTCATGGACCGACGTCACATCTTGGTTTGGTCGCTCCCTAACTTTCTTACAACTTACTCCTGGATCAGTTAACATTCCACCTGGTTAGGCCTACGTAACAGATGTTCAAAATGCCTCATTAGACAAAGATTCACAATCTCATCAGCTAATTTTTCATCTCTAACCAGCACCTTTTGTTTAACCTTAGTATTGCTTACCCGACATTCACAATGCAATTCAAATAATAGTACCCTACCATTACTGTCCATTTTTAAAGACCATGTTTCACAAACATGCGAACTATGATTTCGAATCATATAGAAACTCTTTTGTAATTTATCCTACTAGACTGTCGAAAGCTTATAAAATATATCAGTTACTTTATCATTATAAATATTTTGTTATTAAAAGGTTTTATTCTCAATATAATTTCGTTGTCACGTACAATATATACATATATCATATCTGAAGATATGGATTTTTGTTTTAACAGTCATGTTGTTATTGTATATTCTAATCAATATATTCAATGCGAGAAAAAAAGAAAGTGAAAATACTACATATATCCGTAAGGTGTGTATTTCAAAATGAATTAGAAATCGCGTGATATTCTTCTTTTCACAAGGTACATAGTGTTAGCACGTGATTGTTCAGTGATATTGAGATCACGAATCAATCTTAGTTAAGCAATCATTGAAAACCTGGAAGCGCTAAACAGCTAAGTAATAAATTTGTTTATAAAAATTTACACTAAAAGTGCCTCCTTCACGTGGATTAGTCCATCATATCTGATTGCCTGAACTATGCATGGATCATTCAGTATGTTGAGATTATTCTTATACAAAGCATTTGTTCGATTAGCAATATAACTTTACTTAGTTGGACCAATGTCAAATTCTTACAACCTAAGATCGTTACCTAAGCTGGCTCAGATTGAATGTCTTATTTGTTTGTCTTTTTTAAGTCAACGGTAATATCAACATATTAGGCTTACTGATAAGAGGACTTTAAAACAACCGTGACTAATTTTAGCCAGCTGTTGGTCAGTAAAAAAGCAGTTATTCTAAATCAGTACTTCATGGAAGCAAACCAATCACATTACACAATACAAACATATCTTACATAGTGAATCCACTGAAATCTTCTATACCTTTTTTCTGTAAATTGAAAAACAATGACACCTAACACTGCTCTTATGGATATAAAAGATCCGTCACCTCGAACCGTTGTAAGGCAAATAGATTCTTATAAGTTTGTTCTTGTTTATAGATTTTGGGTTTTATATTTAAAATTAGGATCCAGGAGTATTGCTGATTTGTGTTGTATATCCAATCTGGGTTCAGTATTTTACTCTATCATGGCTAATAAATAATTCTCCATGATCATTTTGAATGTCCCAAGCAATCTACAAAGGTATTCCTACTGTTCATATAATATAACGTGAATTGAACACCACTTGTTTTTAGATTTCACTTCAAAGTTATTTTCTCAGTTCTTATTGGCTCGTTTCTATACTGTACTTTTAATGCCTTTTTCTACGTTTTTACTTTAAATTATTATAAAGTCATTAATTCATTGTTTAAGATAATTTAGTTTAATGGAGTAATAGGAATAATAACTTTAGGTTTAACAGCTGAATGGCAACCTGTTAAAACAATATATCGATCAGTTGTGCTGATCTTATTTCTGATTTGTGTTGATTGTCATGTAACTGACAACAGTATTCAGGTAAAGTTAACGTTTTTATTTCTGTATAAAAAAATATTTTCTATGATTATATGTATATATTTGTCAGAACACATTTGGATTTCATTCTACTATTGTGATCATTTCTACTTAAGCGTAGGATTTTTACTTTATATGGTTTGATCTTATTAGTCAGTCTTAAGCAACATAGAAAATTTTCTGTTCTATTCTATGTGCATTAACTAACTGATCACTGAGTAAGTCATCAATGTCATGTTTGCCTTATCCTTTAGTGCTGATCCTATTCCATTAATCAAGTAGCAGTGTGGTTACTAATATGTGTTTCGAGATCATGTGCATTATATTGAGTTGTTCTTAAATAGCTGACAAGATGCCTTGGAACTTGGCTTCTTGCTTTATGTCACTCGTCAACAAGCAGTATCTAACATCTTGTGTGAACTAATATTCTCTATGTTGTTATTTTTGTAACTCATGTTAGAAAATTTGTATCTAACGTATGCTCCTAGTGAAAGTAAAATATACTGGCTGCCTTGAATTAGCCCATCAGAGTTAGGATAGCGCCTCGTATTTTGCTGAAAGTTTGAAATGCAGTGATGAGTAACGCATATGTTATTATCCACCAGGTGTAAATCGACAGTACTTGATCCTTGAAGTGCTTGAAATCAATGTAATTATCTATTATCCAACCAAAAAGTGGATTTTAGATAGTGTTTAGGCTAAATTACATAACCTGCCTGCTCTTAAAGCACGTGTTGTTCACCGCGTAATCGAGAGTGTTGAATGAGGCTAGATAATCTCCTGCCTTCCTTACTCTCAATCTAAACCGCAACCCTAAGTTTCTGAAGTTTGTAAACAGGAAGGTGACAAGGCTTTAAACTATTACTGATGTCAGTTCTTGTTGCAAACCTAACTCAAAGCTGCAGTTTAACTCTTTATACCTAACCTTAACCGCACCGCATCATAACTGATGTCAGTGGGTGACTGAAACTTTACGATATAGTCCTAACTCAACGCTAGTCCAACACCGAATATGAACGTATACATGTAAAATTGACCTTTATTCTTTGATACGAGCGATAATTTAACTTGTGAAGATTAACTATCACGATCAAAGCTGTTACTCCACTGTTATTTCATTACTTTATTTTGTTAACTGTTTTATAACTAGGCAGCGTTTCCCAAATGGCTAATTAGTCGCCAAAAGTTTTTCAGTATATTATGCCTTTACCACGTTTCCCTTAAAAGAGAATGCCATTTCAAATGGAACCTGTTGAAGTTTGTAATCCTGCTTTTTAATATTTTAGACAGAAGACCAAAATCCAACAAATGTCTTGTCAGATTTTGAAGAAATGACATCTGGTTTATCATCAGTTGTGATACTTGCAGATGAAATGGAAAATGATGAAATGACAACTGCAAAAGCATTTACAACAGATAAATCAACCGTCCATTCTTCTGAAAGGTCTACTATTGAATATAAGGCATCAATTTCTGGTAATGTATCCTTTTTTTGAAAATCATATTATCTTTATTCATAGTTATATCTTAACAGGTTATTTTGTTCGTTCCATTTTTCGCAATTCTTCAACGCTTAGACTAAATTAACGAAGTTTAAGAACGACAGGTTGTTGCTCGATGGTTGATGTAGAAGTTGGTCCAAAATATTAACGAGTAGCTGAACCAAACCAAGATTTTTAGGGTAGCTCAGTAATTAAGGTATTTGAATTTCAACCAATACGTAAATGGTTTGTGTCTTACTCTGTCCATTTTGGTTTAAGCAGTCGAGGGTATAATCAGTATCCCTCATACTTAGAATGTAACTCAAAGCGAACTACACGAACTTGTACACTTGGTAAATGAGTCTTGGAAAAATTTTTCCATATATTTTGTCTGTAATATTTGTAATTTCAGATGATGAAGCTTGGAGTGATTCTGAAAATGAACGTAAAAATTACTCACTGGATAAAACCAATAAGAAGTCCACTGAAACTAATAATAATAAAGACGAGGCCGTCACAATTAAGAATTCTGAGCTACAATTAACTGATGAGGTTTGTAATTCCGTTTATTTCAAGCGAAAAAATTATTTTACTCTGTTGGTTATTATGATTATTCTTAAAGATTGGATTCGTTCTTCTACAATTTTCTTTCGGGTTTGTCTGTCTAATTGGATTTGCCCTTTGGTTATATAACGTTATAGTATAATAGTGGAGCTGTGGTTTATTTAGTTTATGGAGATCGTTAAGTTCATCGAAATTTACATCACAAACTGATGTTATTTAGACAACTGTTGAAAACTAAGTATTTCATATTAGTGTGAGAATCTTCAGTAGTGTGCATCGACGACTCCACCAGGAATCGAATTGAGGACCTTCAAGTGTCCCAACTGGTCTTTAACATTGTTAGAGGTATATAGATTGGATCAAAGCATGTTCCGTACAAGATTGTGTTGAGGACGCTAGTTGGCTGTTTCTTAACCAATCGGCGCTAGCGGAGACTTGGGGAAGACTCTAGGATCTTCTTATGTAAAAATTATAAATATACTAACGTTTGTCCTATTGTGATCCCTATTTCCATCTAACCATTTTTATTTGGAATATGATTACGTTCCTGTGCAGTCGTGTTCTGATTTGGGGACTTGTCGAGAGAAGTAGTGTCCAAGAATATTAAGCAATAGGAGTAGCTAGGTCGTAATAACAGGAATTATAACAAACATTTAGACCATTGGAGTGGTGTCTAGTGTTTTACATTTGTAACGTCAGTCTATTCGTTATATTACCCATCTTGTAATGTCATTGCTAAGTAACACTCGACATGACCGAAATCTGCTGGCCATGGCTTCTCATTAGAACTCCGGGAATAACTGCTCGAAGTTTGTCACTAATGCGTGTAAGAGACTAGGATAAAACAGTTGTCAAGTGTTTTTTTCTTGGTTTCCAATGTTTGTCTAAGGTCATTTAGTGATTTTAACGACAATAAATCCTACAATCTCTGTAAACCTTACACTAACAGTACATTCATCGAGCATTTCAATAATCGATTTAGTTTCGCCACTAATCGATTTGTTTATGTTAGTTACGATTCACATCATTTTTCAGTTAAACTGAATCCATAAGGTAAACTACCCTGTCCTTAACTTTGTATTTAAAGCTTAGAACATTTTACTTTATTCCACTCATTATCACTAATTGTTCAATGAATCATACATATGTATATTGACAGTAATCTGCTGATCATAATTATTTTTATCTAAATTTTATTTTAGATTGATGATTGGGAGAATTGGTCATAAAAATATAATTAATCCCATAATTATTACATTGCTTGTTAGTTGCAGTGATTCATACTATTATTAACTAATTTTGTTGTTTCTTTTTATTGTAAACTGACATTAATCTGTGTGATAGATAACAATAGTGACTATAGTAATTAATTAAAAAGCCAATAAAATAATGTGAAGAGTCCGTTCTTTATCACAAGAATACTGACAACAAAATAGCCTAAAACGACCCATTATTTTTATGAAGCATGGGTACAACTCTGTAACAGATGATGATAATGATGTTTACGCTTACTATATTTTAGAAATCTTGTTTATTTTTTCAATTGTACTTTTCTATATCTAACCATATGAATGATGACTTTTTTATTTCTCAAACTTTGTCGTCTGCCAAAAGTTATTGATTTTGAATTTATTTTATTATTTTAGTGGTTGTAGTAAATTGTCACTTTATCGAGCTATTACACCGTCATCATCATAGTACTTAGATGTCATGATTTTATCCTTTGAGAAATCTATTTCATCGATCAATTCTTTTTTTTCCAAAAATAAATTCTTTCTTACAAGCGATTGAAAATTATTACAAAGAACAATTGTTTGTTAAATAGAAGTGTGATTAGGTCGGTTGATGCACTGTCAACTATATATATATATCGCCTTGCACAGTGTTGCACGTGGATGTAGCGATCACTTCTATTATATGAATAAATTCAACAATACACAGACATTTACACTAATATTTTTCGACAGTAAAATTGTTCAGAAAGGAAAAATAGTTTAAAGGAATAAAATTGTGTTCTATTTGTATGGGTTTTTTAACAAGCATCATATATACGACCCCATAAAAAAAGATCAATTAATAATTTTATAAATAAATGCAATATTTAAAAGGGTAAATAAAAGTTACATAAAAAACAATCTACAGACTTATCACCAGTCGACAACAATAATTAGATTAAATTCTCCAATGAATCACTATAAAAATGATTAAAATCTAACCGTAACAATAACTGATTTAAATCTGTTTTGTCTGAATAAAGAGGACCATTGGTAGTAGCAGTAGTAATAATACCAGGTAACGATAATGATTCGAAGTCTCGACGATCATTAACAGCAGTATGGCCAGGATTGAAACCAACACTACTTTTAGCACCGGTTAAACAAGAAATATTTAATAAATCATACAATAATTTTGCTTGAGTATAAAATTTATTCACCATCTCGTGCACTTCATTAGACAATTGATGATTATGGTCATCATCCATATTCATTAAGTGATCATTGTAGTATTGTTGATTTGATAAATCTACAAATTGACAGCAATAATTTAACAACTGTAATATACATAATTTTATATTTGGCATGAACAATAATGCTTGTGCTTGTAAACCAGCCAGGTAAGCTTCATGTGCGATTTGAATTAATCGGATTTCTTGATCACTATGTAAACGATGAATCAAGTGTGAGAATTGTGCTTCAATTACATCGACCTGTGAGGAAGAGAAAGAAATGAAGTGCGGATATTCTGGAAAAATAATGATAGTACCAGGGATTGTATGCCGATTCATCCGTAGGGCGTGTGGATAACCCAATTTAATATATTCAATCCAGTTTGCATTTATTTCTTTATTCATTTTATGAATTACGGGTTGTATGAGTGCAATGAGAACTATGACTCACATGTGTTACTAGTACTATTGACTGTGTAGTGGTAGTGGACAACATTTAGTATTGGCAATATGATTTAAGAAAAAAACGATTAACTCGCAGTATAGAAAAGATAATATCATTTTCAAACTCAAAATCTAATGGAGAACAAAGAATGAATGCATTTAGCCTTCCTGAACGATTCTGATCCATTTAACCTAACTTCTCTAACCATTAACGATAATGGTTGCATCAATTCCAACCACATACTTTAGACCTAACACTATGGCTCAATCCAAGTCAAGAATATTTTAGATTGATGTCGTGCCTTGATTTGGTCACTCCTAGCTTTTATTTAACCTATTCCTACACCGAGAAAAATAAAATTACATACTGGACTATCAAGTGTATTTGAAAATGGAACTAGATAGATCAAATAATACGCAACGATAATCCCCCACGCAATTGGAGAGAAATGAGGTATCTGAGCCGTCAAAATTTCAGTAGAAAAACTGCTTATACACCAATAACTATTACCTTGGAACACAGTTGCAAAATAAATGAGGAAGCAACAAGTCAGATATAGTACCAAAGATTAGTGGGTTAATATGAATTGAAAAAATGTTACTGAGGACATGGCACACGAGGATATCATTTGCTAACAAAAATAAAAACACTGGGTAATTTGAACTTTTCCCACACCATAAAAGGTAAAACATTTTTGGTAAATTCTGATCATAGGCTAGACCATACAACAAATTTTGGACTCTTATTTATGTACCTTATTGTATATATTTGACTAGTTTTACATTTGTTTGGTCACTTTATTGTATTAATCCTATGAGGCTTATATCTATTCAGATTACGCATTCACAAATTGTTCTAGTTCAATTCATTAACATATTGCTTGGTTTGATCAGGTAATCTGAATACAAATCAAATATTACTTCTCTTGCTTCCAATATGCTTATACGATTTTGATCATTTTCAAAGTGTATGAATACGACTAACAATTTGAATTACCTAGACATAAACAGTACAGATAGAAGAGAAGTGATTTTTGTCAATAATCATAACACTAATAGGAAACAAATAATATTCGACCAGTATATTTTAAAATGACAATGAAGATCCCCTTTCCCAAATATGATAGCAAACCAACCTGTAAATAATACTGTAAACTCTCAATAATAAATGCCATATGACTACGAACTAGAAGGCGTCGACCTATACAGGATTGCAACTTAATAAAAACGTTGGTTGGTGGTGTTTGATCATAATTTACATTGGACTGATTACGAGCAGAGGTACGACGCCACAAAAGAATCTGATCAGCCCAAAACTGTTGTAATTTCAGTTGTGTTCGACGGATAGCGAATAGAAATCGAAATAAACTGTCGTAAGCACGACAAATATTAGGAGAGAATAAACGTTCGAACACCGGTGGAGCAATAATGCATAAGTGCAAACAATCCCAAACAGTAATATTTTCTGGCGATTTATTTGATTGAGCTGCTGTCAACTTTATTGAAAATCTAGACAGAATTAAAAATTTAAGAAAACTAAACTTTAAATGTGGAACGAAACGAGTGGTTTTTCAAATTACTGATTCAAGAATCTAAATTTAGTATGATTTTAGAAAATGCACAGAAAAACAATTTTTGTACCCAGTAACTTTATGAAAAGTCCTAGGACTGATTTAACACATCACTCGAAAGTAATGTCAACAAAAGTCATTTTATGGTATCGCTTATCTGGTGAGAAAGTTGAGCTAAAGTGAATTCCGATAAAACTAGGGAAATGACTCCCACAAAACTTATTACGTAATGGTAGCTGTTCATAAAGACTGTTGACCTAATCGAGTATTTGAGAGCTGAGAAGACTCTGTAGATGGTCGAAAACAATGAATTTCGGCCCCCTCTGTAGATGGAAGCTTCGGACGTGTTTGATTTGCACTATTCAGATGATTGCGATCGTTTGTACACACGATTCTCAAGCTACTGTTCACCTGAACAATGAACTTATCACAAGATAACCTAAAATAAACATCAATATTTTTCCTCCAACTGAAAATGAAGACGAATCTCCACCTTAGGTACAAGGTACAGTAGTAAATTTATTTGTGTCAATAGTCTCAATCTTAAAATATAAATCATATCAGCTTTGGGTGTCAGTCAGTGGGGGACATGTGTTAACGGCGAAAGCATGTGGTTTTCAACTGGTAGGCTAGTTTTAAATTTTGTTCCACCTACTTCGGTTTGAACAACTAGATAGTGTCGCTAGATCCCACATATTTAGAATATGACGTTTTGGCGAAGTTGCGTTTGCTTAACTGGGTGATTTGATCGTGAAGCTCTGATTTTCTTTCTAGTCAACATAGGACAAATTTCATAAGGTGAGCTAATCAGATTTCTCCACTTATCACTAACGGCTTATTCCGTCAACTTTAACTGGTTGTTGGCCCATGTTTTATGATTGTCTCGGGACATATATCGATACTTTGAATGTAAGGCAATCAGTATCAGATAGTTGTTATTCATTTACGATACGGGAAACTAACAACTAGTACTAAAAGGTATAATCATAATATGAAATGCTCTGAGTCTCCGCGTCATTATTAATACAATATAAGTAATGATAGCCGATTCCCATCGTCTTAACACTTATTACTGACAATGTATACTGCTTATCTTTATCATATTTAGGCCCAGCAGAAACAGTGGCTATTCGGTAAGCTAAAGATTAGTTAAATAGTAAAACCCACGTGAAGTATCATGTGTCTTTATTTACAAAATAATTTTTATTGACTGGTTACAACCTAATATTATATGGTTGTTGATTACAAAGTCACTTCATCAATGTTGCCTTTTATAGTACTATAGTGAAAGAGAACACAGGTGATGACAACTAAATGTATTTGTATACAAAATTACAGAATGTCTTAGTAAAATCTGAGAACCATACACTAAATACTTCGTTTTGCAAAATGTCAATCAATCGTCTCAGACTTGATTGTTCCTTCGTTTCCACACCAATCATTCTTTATTCTTGTCCCCTTTTCTTCGGTCTTCTTAAACTTCTACCACCAGGCATTTCACTTTCGATTGATGATACATACTTCATATATCCGTCGACGTCAGTAGCACACACAACAGAACTACTAATAATTTTACATAACGATATAATTTTGCCGAACAAACCAACATAATTTTTAAAGTTAATTTACTCATTTTTAAAAAGTCATAACTAATTACTTTTTCTGCCGTTATTAAAGTTACTTATATTTCATGTATATTGGTTCGAATTTTTACACCTTTAGATAACGAAGACAAAAGATCGAAACAATACGGTGAACCATAGAGAATCGTAGGACAAGGTGAAGATTTTCATAAGTACATCTAATAAACGTATTTGCTATGCAATAATCTATGGTAAACCAGAGAACGATAACGATAATAGTAGTAGTAATAATAATGTTGAATTCTTAGCATAGATGATTGCATCACCTACCCTTTATATTATATTATCAAATGGAAAAGGTTCACTATAAGGTGAGTAAAATTAAACTTAGATCATCAAAAACTTACAGTTTCATATTACTGATGTCAAATATCTTGTGCATTAAAAATCAAGAGTTTTTAATACGCCTCACAGTGAGAACCCATAGCTTAATTAACTTCAAAAGATCTGCGTCTAGTCTATAGTGATCACTCAATAATTTTATTAAATGTGAATCATCATTCAAAGACGCCGTCATTTGTACTTTCAATGTTCATGTGTTAACCATATGTTCGGACAGAACGACGGGCTAGAAATTTGGTCCATAAAATACACCCAATTATCTCCGTTGTAAAACAAGAGGTATATAAATTAACCTTTAATGAAATCCTTGAATATATATAAATTTAACCAATAAATAGCCAAAAAAGGATAATGCAGTTCCCCTGGATTAACAGAACGAACATGCTGAGCTGAGATCAACATCCTGACAGAAATACATCTGGACGTTGAACTGCTAAAGTTTTTATACTCGATTTATAACCATCAGCTTTTAAGTTAAAACACTTTCATATAAAATACAGGCATGGCTTACAAGCCAGAACACAAATATCCTTGTGACAACTGAGAATTATAAGTCAAACAATACATATATACTCATTCGGCAAAAATAAGAGCAGTTTGACATAGAAGTAACATAACACTATAAAACTGTCTACATACATTTGATAAATTCAATATTACACAGTGACATACTTAAAATT